CTGCCCTCACTCTGGACTTGCTGTCTCAGTCTTCCCATGATTTGGACCCTACAAGTCTGTCAAGCTTCTGGGCAACTGAAGGTAGAGATGCTGCAGGACTGCAGTTTGCTCTATGCATTGGATTCTCTTTCTAAACCACCTTCAAAATTTGGCTCAAAGAAACGAATGTCAGAGCCTAATTTTTTTGACTCGTACTATGTTGTAGCACTGTTACCTTAGACATACAGCTACAAATCACATCTTTGAAGTCATATCTTTCAGGAATCACTAAGATTGCACATCCTAACTGAAAATCAAGACCATTGTTCAGGTGCTTAATGTTAAGACCTTAGGTCTGATCTTTATTGCCATAAAGCCGATGTTATGGTCTTAAAAAAACAAAAAGAAAAGATTTTCAGGCATGTTTAGGGGTCAAAATAAGTTTTTCAGGGAGCCTTAATGTAAAAAACAACAAAAAAAAGACTGCATGTCTTGCACTTTTCAGAAACTTGCTGCAATAGGACTGAGACAGCATATGGGTCTTAGAAGGTGATATGTGGTACAAGCACTTAGTAACTTTTCCACAGGTGGATTTGTGGAGGCTACAGTCATCCACGCTCTCTCCCAGGAAGAGAACAGATTTCAGTCCAGGACATGACAAGGTGCCTGTTTCCTCAGCCAGTGGTGGAAGGGGCTGGAGAGTAGGACAGCAAGGTGAAGCACGTGTTGTTCTGTGCCATCAGGCAAGTGAAAAAAAATTCCACCTGCTTGTTTTTTGCTGCTCTTTGAATCAGGCTAGAGACAGTAAATGAAATGTGCTGCTGTTCTGTCTGTTAGTAATTTTATATATGTTGAATGGCTTTATGAGGAGAAAATGATCACTAAACCCTGAGCTCATTAGCTTATTGATCCAAATACTGATGATGGATTTTCCCTATAGCCAGAACACTGCAGTAAGATTCACAGAGGGTGCCCTAGGAATGCCAGAAGAACCCAGATTCACTTCCAGCTCTGCTTCCCATGTGCTTTTTTGAGGGTGGAATTCCCCACTGGAATGACCTCCTGCTTATCCTGTTATCCAAGGTTATCTTAAGAAATCCTCATCAACTGCCAACTCATGTAACTCAGCAATTTGAGGAAGTTTTACCTATATACCACCTCCCCACTTAGTCTCATAATTACCAATTTTGGTTTTACTGCTTCCAGAATAGATCTTGCCACTACTTTAAGAACAGTAAAGGCCTAAAATAACCTTATAAATGAGCTGTTAATATGTAAATCAAACCTGTAACCAGTCTGTATGAAGTGTAGGATAGGGGGTAGATTTTCGAGGCTGTGCAGCATCCCGAAGCTCACCTAGAGCATGGTAGGACTTGATAGGTGGTAAATACCATGGAAGTCCCAGCCACCCCACTGAGCTCTTTGGCCGGAAAGTCATTATCTAAATGGTTGATTTTTCTATTAATTAAAAAAAAAGAACATTTTTGTTGATATGAGTCCATTGCTGACCTTCTCAGACAGTGAAATATATTCTTTGGTTCATCTTAAATATGACTGATTCATGCAACCTTTTTTTACATGTGATTTTTTAGATGTTTTAAAATTCACTTAGTACATATTGAAGAGAAATATATACCAAAAAATGTGGTCTCTTTTAAAAGAAACGTTTCAAAATTTGTTTTAGCCCAGAAGATAAGAAGTTGATACCCATTTGTGAAATAATTTTCTGTTGAGTGGAATCTGTTTGTTGATGAAAAATGGAAATATTTGATTGCACCTGACTCTCAGATATGTCTTTTTCAAGTGAGAGTTTGAAACCTTATTCTGCAGGTTCTGGATGGTTTGGCATTCACCAGCTTCACTGTAAGGGAAATGATCAATGAAAATGATGACCTTTAACCGATAGTCTCTAGAGGAAAAGAGGGAAGGAAATATCCTGGTCATGCAGAAATTGTTTTACTTCAGTACTGGAATGTCACAAATAGAAATGAATACGCACAATAGAAGCATGGAGAAATTAGATGTGCGCTGTTATAAAGAACTGACTGTCTAACATGAGCTACGGTAGGAAATTTTGATGTGTCACATTTGCACCCATGCTTTTATTTTTCACTTACTTTTGTTCTTCACAATCTTCCAATCGGCCCTTCCCAAATGTTTTGTCAGATAGCTGCAATATGCAGTATGGTCCTTGATAATCCCCGTTCTTTCTGACTAAGCAGGGATCTAAAACCAGAGGGATCTGGGGTGAATTCGTTTAGAATATACTTTTCATATGCCTATATAAACATATGCATAAACATGATATCCTCCACTCGGGGAATGCGTAAAAGGTGGGACATGATACTTGTGAGAGGCACAGAGTTCTGCAAATGAAGGCGGTGGGGAGGGAAACGAATTGCCTGTTAAATATGGAAAATGGAGTCTGCTTTTTGTTCTGGGCCTTTGGAATCTGTGGGTGGATTGGAACTGGCAGGCAGGGAGCAAACACCCACCCACCATAGGGCTGTGTGGTTCAGAAGTTTACAAGAGTGTTTGTGTTCCAGGAGCTGTTGGCCTTGAAGCCAATGGAGAGGGGGAGGAGAAGAGGGAGAGAGTGAGAAAAACAGTGTGGTGTTAGGGCCCTTCCTCCGAGATATTTTTCCCCTCTCCTTTCTCCAGCTAGAGGGCTTTGGAACCGGAGCAAGAGAAACGGTTAGTGGGGCAAAGATTAATACGGTTTTAAGATGTGCAGTGCTCACAGTCTGTCGTCAGGGGAGGCAAAGACTTCAGAAGCCACTGCCACCTTAATCCCAAATGAGAGCTCTTTATCACTCCTCTTTCTCCTGCCCTGCTGCTGTTTAATTCTGCAGACTCTGTGGGACATAAAGAGCTGGAAGTTTTACTGTATTGTTACTGCAGGAGTTGAAAATTGGTTTCTGTCCCATCGTGAACTGAGGTTCAGAAGCTGCCACTCTAATTGGTCACCATCTGGATATTGCAGATACAGAAACTGAGGCACAGAGAGACTAAACAACTTGCCCAAGGCAACAGGAAGTCTGTGGGAGATCTGGGAATAGACCCCAGATGTCCTGAGTTTTCTGTCTTAACCACAAGACCATCCTTCCTGTCTTTTTGGTAGTCCCCTCTGCTTCAGGAATTCTGTTTATGGATTCCACCCATAAACAATCTGCTGCATGATCCAGTGATTTACTTGCATAAAAGAGTCATTTGGAAGGGAAAATGGCACCTCTCTTAAAATGAACTGCAGCTACTTCTGTCCTTTCTTTGAAAGGGGTAAAGGAGAGGGAGTGCAAAAAAAAAAAACCAACAAACCCAGCTTCCAGAGCTAAGAAGCTTCTCCACTGCTGTCCAAACTTCCTGCAAGCTTTAGTTTGGTTCCTTAAAAGAATCAGGTCCTCCATACATGATGTTTGAGTATATCTGGCCATTTATATTTTAGTGAGTTAAAAAAAAAAAAGATGACTGAAACGGGACTAAATCCATCTAGGGAGTTATTCTGCTGCCGTTCACCATCATATCCAAGTACCTTCCGTGACAGTCGGTTCGACTGCTGTATCCCTAACGGACTTCGCTCTGCGTCTGGCACTTCTCCCTTGTCATAGTTGGCACTTTTCTAAGATGAGGCTGAAAGGTGGGAAGAGTTTTCTTCTTAATAAAGCACACCCTTTGGTCTGGCAATGATGGAACGGATGGAATGTCACAGGTGTCCTTCCTATTATCAAAAGGTGCCATACATAGTTTCCAAAAAATATTATTTAAAATTATTCTTAATTAAAACCTTTTAGATACCTGTCAGTGAAGAATATTGCTAGCCCTGCTTCCTCTTAAGCATCAGGAATCAACAAGGACTGCATGGCCTAGATTGATAGATCACACCTTTAGACCTTGGTATTGTGGTAATATCTAAAAATTCCACTCGTGGATCGGTAAATCTATATGCAGTGCATTGTATAAACAGAACCTCAGAGGGTACATCTTGCCATCGATGGCTTTCTATAACAAAGCAGTTTGGTAAAGATTCTCCAAGTGTCTTTCTCTCAGCACGTGAAGACACAACTTGGACCAGTACGTTTGGTTCTTGCCTTCTCTGAGCTCCCCCATAACTTTAGGGCCTGATGTCTAAGTTGGGTATGCAAGAGTGGGTTCCTCTCTGGAGAAATGCTGATTCAGTTGCAAGATCAAAGTTCTTTTGCAACTCTGTGGCACCTCTTTCCTTTACTCTGAATGAGTTTTCAGAATATAAAAAATACAAATATGAAAGCTTGCTGCGCTCCCTGCCCCATTACAGTGATGCTGAGTAAATCATAACGTCTTGTTTTCTGCTTGCTCTTTTAAACAGTGTTTGGATATTTGTCTACTTGTTCCTTCTATTTTGTCCTGATCTACCCGTTTTTTTCTGCCTTTATAGGTAATTTTGGTGGGGTTTTTTTGCTTTTATGGTAAACTTTCGGAGGAGACTCTTCAAATGCTCCATTTCTGCGTTACTCAGTGCGGCCGGATTCTATCCTATGAACGGTGCTTAAAGTCACTGTTGCATCACAAACGATATTGTAACAGCTGTGTTGGTGTAGAACTGCTCTCCAGCCTATTTTGGGGGGACCCACAGCAGAGTGTGGAGGTATCAGGCGCGGTCACCTTTTCAGCTTGTTTCTTACGTTTGCACTTAGAATATTTTCTAGAATTCTAGCTGTGCAGCCCATGGGGGAAAAAAAAAAAAAAAAGAAAAAAGAAAAAAAGAGGGAGAAGCCCCATTTTGTCGCCTTTGAGATGTGACCTGAAGGGAGAGCAGCGCGCGTCTCACTCCCGGCGGGATCCGCACAGCCCCACGCGCTGG